TGGCCCTCTCTGCGGTGACGGGCACCTCAAAATGGACGTCCATAATCTCCGTGGGCGCAGCCTGCACTGTCTACTGCACCATTGGCGGCATGAAGGCCGTCCTCTGGACTGATGTCTTCCAATCAGTGCTCATGTTCTCTGCCATGTTGATCATCATTGTTAAGGTAAAGTTGAGACAAGAAGTCAAAGTTAATTCAAAAAGTAATTTTTTTATTTTTTAGGGGACGATCGACGTTGGAGGAGTTGCACAAGTGTACGAGCGAGCGGTGAATGGCTCAAGAGTTGAGTTTGACAAGTAAGCAATGTGGGAAAACGGTTCAATTTTAAAACACTTTTTTTCATTTTTCAGCTTCGACCTTGACCCAACTGCCCGTCACACCGTTTGGTCGCTGACTCTAGGCGGCCTTTTCATCTACGTTTCACTGTACGGCGTCAATCAGACGCAGATACAGCGACTGATGACGGTGAAAACGCTTAAGAAGTCTCAAATGTAATTATTTTGATAATGATGATGAGTTTTTTAAGTGCAGTACAACATTTAAACTTTTCGTTACATTTACTCTCCCCAGTGCCCTATTCATCAGCTGGATCCTCACCTCGCTGCTCTCCTTCCTGACGGCCTCCTGTGGTCTGGTCATTTATGCAAACTTTTGGCGCGAAGACCCGCTAAAGTGCGGTCGCATCTCCAAGCCAGACCAACTTCTCCCCTACTACACCGTCTCAAAGCTGTCAGAGTACCCGGGCGTCCCAGGACTAGTTGTCGCGGGCATTTTCAGCGGATCACTCTCCACAGTGAGCAGCTTTGTGAACTCGCTCTCTGCCGTGACNTCCTTCCTGACGGCCTCCTGTGGTCTGGTCATTTATGCAAACTTTTGGCGCGAAGACCCGCTAAAGTGCGGTCGCATCTCCAAGCCAGACCAACTTCTCCCCTACTACACCGTCTCAAAGCTGTCAGAGTACCCGGGCGTCCCAGGACTAGTTGTCGCGGGCATTTTCAGCGGATCACTCTCCACAGTGAGCAGCTTTGTGAACTCGCTCTCTGCCGTGACGTTGGAAGACTATCTGAAACCGGTGCTGAAGAAGTCAAATGGGTTCAAGCGAAACGAGATTATCATCACAAAAGTGCTCGCCTTTGGCTACGGCTGCCTGTGCATCGCTCTGACCTACGTTGTGGACAAGATGGACGGCCTGCTGCAAGCTAGTTTGACGCTTTTTGGCGTCGTCGGCGGTCCACTGTTGATGCTCTTCACAGTGGGCGTTGCATTCCGAAGCACCAACTCAACTGGGGCTATGACCGGCTTCCTGGTGAGCCTACTCTTTGGCATGTGGCTCGGCTTTGGAGGCCTTCTCTATGGCAGGCGCCACCCACCGCTGCAGCTCTCTGATGAGCTGTGCAGGGTCAATGGCACTACCACTGATTCTCCTCTGATTCCCTACTTCAAGCCCACCCATCGAGAGTTCACCCCCTCAAGCAGTATTTTCTTTAATCTGTCGTACCTGTGGTACGCAGGACTGTCTTGGCTGCTCGGCGTCACTGTCTCACTGCTTGTCAGTCACCTGGTCTCTTATTTGAGCAGAAAGCAGGAAGAGGTGAACTCTGAAGAGATCACCAACAATGGAGAGCTTGGATTGGCTAATAACGGTGGACAGGTTAGGCGGAAGGCGAGGAAGAAAGTAGTCGACCAGTCGCTGTTGATGCCACTTCTTCAGCTATCTTCCTCATCCTCTTCCTCACGCCCAAACTCCAGTGAGATGGTGCAGCTGAACGTTAACGATAACAGTAACAGCAGTCTTCCGGAAAAGTCGGAGAGCCATGAACTTGGTGGCGAACTTTCGACAAACCACATTTAGTGTCTTTTTATCACTTTTCCTTCTTTCCTTCACATGCCCTCAGTGAGAGAAGGAAGTGTCAAGTTGTGATGCACCTGAAAAAAATCTTTTGGTGCAAATGCTGTGTCAGGTGCTATTTTTATTTATTTATTTACTTTGTTTTCATTCAATGATCTTCCACTTTTTATACGCGAGCACAATGAACTTTACCGCTGTTTAGACTGGTCATGTTCAGTGATTTTGCTCTGCCCAGCAATGATCTTCCATGCTTTTCCAACGGTTTTCCGCCTTCAACAAGATAGCAGTCTGTGTGCAGTGCACTGCGCACAATTGTCCATTTTTTCACCTAAAGTTAACTTACCACAACGCTTGTATTACACATACTAATTCTGTTAAACTTCATCATACATATCATTTGTTGCTATTTTAATCGGTTATTATCGTTCGTTTCCAAATTGTATCAAATTTTTTATTAAAAAGATGGTTGATATTTGTGCCACGAGGTGTCAACGGCGATCACAAGCAAAAAACTGATTTTTGATCTGAATTTCAGATTTAGTAATGAAAGCACTAGATTTCCAAAAATTCTTTTATATTTTTTTTGACAAATTAATTTTTTCTATGATGTACCACGAACACATTTGACATGAATTTTCAAACTGTGATTTAGGCCACGTTGTCAACGACACATGCTGTTGTTTGAATGTAAATGTTATGGCGTCGCAGAAAATGCTTGGTCAGTTTACGGAAAAAACAGAAAAAGGTCACAGTAGAAAGTGCGATTGTGAACCTGAAACTGTCCGAAACTACGACTGAACTTTTCTTTTTACTAATTACCAATCCCATAATGCGTATCCACTTGACTATAATCAACTTTGCCAACTTTGTTTCGCTGAGTCCTTTCACTTTCCACTTTTCCCCCTTCTCTTTCCCTTTGACCTTGGATCTTTCACCTACTCTCTGCAATCCAGTCTGAACTGTCTCCCTCTCGCTTCTGCTTCTGCTCTCGCTTCTGCTGCTGATTAATCCGCTGGGCAATTGTCGACTTACATTGCATCACACGTTCATTTCCTCAATCTATATATAGGTATCTTCTTCTGGCAATGGCAATGTCAGTCTTCTGCCCAAAAAGCGCCAGCATGTTCTCTCTCTTCCGTTCACTGGCTCTGACTACCCGATTCCGTCGACGGCACGATACGCCACGATTACGCCACACAGTTGCTATGTAGTCTGTCTGTCTGACAAAGTGTGCAAGTGTGTGTGTGGGTGAAATTCAGCGGATTCTCTCTTTCTCTCTTTCTCTACTTGCAGCACACAGTCAAGCACATACAAGTCTTCACTTTTGAGCCAGAGTAAGCACTCATACACTTTGTTGCCAGACCATTTTTGTTTTTGCTTCGCCTGCGAAGGGTGTAGTGCCGTGTGTGCGTGTAGTGTACGGTGAATGTACGGTCGGTACGGTTGGTCTGGGTACTTCGGAGGGCCAGTAGTCTCTATCCATCATCACTGAATCAACCCGAAAAGACTCAGACTCAGCTATCATCGTTTCAACATTGACAATTGACTAATTGTGATAGTACTTTATTTGCCGATAAATAGCAGAAGCCGGCAAGAGTTGTCGTCAACATCGACATCATCTCCTAATGAAGAATCATCAGCACTCGTCGCACTGTCCTTTCGCCGTCTCAATCAACAATTTGTAGCCAGTTAACTTCCTCATTACCAAACATGTATTTGTTGTGCTAGAGCACACAGAGTGAGTACGCAGCTTTTTGTTGATAGTGTCAACGACGGCGGCAGCGGCGGCGACGATGATGATCTTCAATCGCAAACTGACTTCAAAGTGAGTTTGCGTTGTAGTACTCTCTGTAGTGAGTTTGTCGTACTACTTCCTAATCGTCCTCAATGTTACACTCAATGTTGAGCTGTAGTAGATTCGATTAATTCACATTAACTAATCTCATGTCCCCCACGTGCTCCCAGACAGCTTCTCCACTGTACTCGGCCATGCTTTTCGTTTTCGTCTCAATTTTCAACTACCAATCAAGTACCCTGTTGAAACGCCTGCTAACATCAGCGTGCACCATTTGCTCACTAGTGCTCATCTAGTGCATTTTTATTAAGAGTTAATCTGCCAGGCTACTGAAAAAGAAAGCCACTTGAAAAACATCACCCTTCACTAATCCAGTAAGTATCCGGTGTATCGAACTCAAAATACTTTCGTTTTTATATGATTTTTATAAATGTGAGTTGAGATAAGTTTCAGCAAAAAAATTAGCAATTTTCAGCTTCATTTAGTTGTTAGCACATCGTCCTTCTCTTCTGTTCACCGTTTACGGTAGTTGTCTGTTCTTGGTCTCTGTCAGTCTTTACTGCAGTTCTTGTACAGCTGCTTTCGAAAGTGTGCATTCTCTGCGCGCCCAAAAGCGGTTAGCAACGAGCATTCTCAGTTGCGACACCGCTTCTCTTTCTTTCTCTTTTCTGCTCATCCACAGAGCGCCGGTCGGTTTGTCTGCCTGTCTGTAACTGTGGGCGCTGGTGTTGGAGGGTGCCCCGTGTGTGTGTGTGTCAGACAGACGCACATTGGGTCGCATGTGGCCTGCCTTCATCAAAGTCATCGGCAAGTTACCGGCTCCACCGTTGCTCTTCCTTTTGCTTTGCAGTTGGTGCCAGCGCATCACTACCAAAGGCATCAAAGCAACTCTGAGTAAGTCAATTGCAAACACATCAGTGTCTGTTGTTTCCTGTCTCATCCTCATAGTGTTGTCACTTCCGATTTTCTGTGTTGACTGTTGTTCTTGTTGTAATGCCACTAGTTCATTCATTGAATCGTCGCAGTTGACTTGCATTTCCCCTTCCAATGCTCTTGCTGCTGCTGTCGTTGTCCATTGAGTCATTTCGCCGGCATTCATGCCTTTTTCAATGTCATTGCCTCCTCGTGTTTGTCTCCGGTCACCAGGCAGTCCCCACCTCAGAATGAAGTGACAGTCACCGAGGAGTGTCACCGCTGGCTGGCAGCAGTGCTGTGCTCACAACCTGCTCCTCATCCGATCAATTAGCTAATTTGCCCAATCAGCAGTGAATGAACTTAGTGCTGGCATGTGTGCGCCACTTTTTTGTGGTTCATCTCCTTTACTGCCAATCTTTTTCATTTTTGTCTGACGACACTTTTAACTTGTTTTCATCACCACTTTTGTTACCCATCGGCAAAGCAGCCAGCCGCAATCTCATCTTCCCAACTTGTCAGCCTGTACGTATTGAATTGCTGCCTTGAAGTGCTGATAGAGCGTCTCGAATTGAAAGTGCCGCCTTTCTAAATTTACATTTTTTTGCTGCTCTCTGAATTTGAGACATTGCAGCTGCGTCGATGATACCTTGCACTAAACTGTCCGAAAAGTGTCTTGCTCAAAGTCACTCCTGTCACCCTCTCTCCCCTTTTTCCTCTTTATCATCTGGTGTCATGAGCTGGGCGTAGTGTCTAGTTGTTGCCCACCAGACAAAAGGAGGCTGATCAGCAAATCATTGACTTCACTAGAAATCACATAGCACTGTACATTGTACAACCATTGAATGTACATCGTCTCTGCGTCTCTGAATTTCACTGGACGCGTGCTGCCTCTCTTCAGTGCTAATTAGGCAGCAGACGGCTGTTCTTTGAGCACTGCTAGACAGAAACTGTCGTCGTCTCGTCTCGTCTTCTCTACAACTAATCTATCTCTAATCAACCATGTAATTATATCACTTACTTCACTAATTTTCCGCTATCTTCTTTTTCTTTTTTCAATGTGGCATCTCCTAACGAGTACTGGCATGAAAGCTCTGTTTTTCGACCACTGAATCTGACACTAAAACTGTGCACTCAGTTTAGGCACTTTGGTTAAGCTCTGCCTAGGGGCAGCCTGCTGTGTGATGTCCACCTCTCACACCAGACCAGCACACAGTGGTCTCAGTCTGCGGGTCTACTCATTATCTGTTCTTTCCTCTCCCGCTGTGCACTGGTCGATGTACCTCGACCCTGGAACCAAATCTCTTCTTTCCACTGGCCATCGTCGTTCCCTGCGTCATCACACTACAGCTACAGCTACCACCTACTACTGCCACTATTGACTATCGTTTTTCGACCTAAATGTAGTGTGAAGTAGAGTGCTGCTTTTGTTAACTTGTGCCAGGCTTTGTGTCCAGCAGCAGCTTGGCAGCTTAGGGAGCATTTCAGTCAGGCAGAGTCAGTCAGTCAGTTCCTCCCTGCTGGCTGCAGTTCCTCCTTTGCTCTCTCGCTCAATAATCGACTCCTGCCGTTGGAGTCAAAAGTACTCAGAAAGCACTGAAATTGTGGAGAGGCCATCGCAACCACCACCACCAGCGCTGCCAATAGCGGTGATCATTGAGGCTGTTGGTGATGTTGCTGCTGCATCAGCTTCGATTAGTGTTCAGTGCATCACCGCACATTTGCACATTCTCGGCAGTCGTCCATCCCT